TAGCCAAAGACGACAATATCATCCGCAAATTCTAAGTCGGTGAGCTATAAGTTCGGAGAGAACTGTACTCCTTGGTATCCCTTCATCGAACGATCCATTATCCAGTCAGCGACAAAGTGGAACAGCACTGGGGACAACGGGCACCCCTGTCGCACTCCAGATCATAATCCGAAAGCGCATGAATTCTGTCCGTAGATGCGGATTCGGGTGCTAGTGTTAGAATAGTAAGATCTCATCAAGTTGAAAAGTTGAACTGGCCAGAACTATGTTCCAGATGGATTCGCGGTCTACAGAGTCGAAAGCCGCACGAAAATCCACGAAGCAGACTGCTGTGGATTGTTGAAACGTGTGGTGATATTCCAAGAGTCAACGTAAAGTGAATATTTGGTCGACACAGCCCATATCGGGGCGGAATCCTTTCTGGTTAGGATGAGTGCATGCGTGCCTTGTAGCAGCAAAGCGGTTCAGCAAAAGTTCTGCAATAATCTTGGCCTCCACGTCCAGCAAGGCGTTGCCTCTGTAGTTTTCGCACACTGATTTGTTACGCCTTTTAGGGAAAGGTAGTAAAATCGATGTGGTCCAGTCAGTTGGGCAAATTTCAGTTTCCTAGATTGCACACAGTAAGCTATGAAGAAGGTTTAAAATGGCTGAGACACACTTTTCGTAGATTTCGGCGGGTAACCCGTCCTCACCGGGAGATTTCCGTGGCTTGAGATGGCTGATGATATCTGAGACTTCTTGAACTGTTGGTGGAGCGCAGTTAGCGTCGTATGGAGAAGATGGAGAGGAGGGCGCACAAGGAAGTTGGATTTGAGGGAGATTGAGAAGAACACTGAAATGTTCCACCCATTGAGACATTTTTCTTACACATCAGAAATGAGCTCGCCGAAGGCGCTGCGCAGCACAGACTGGGTGACCTGTTTCTTGCCCGACGCTGATCAAATAAGTCGGAAGAGGGTCACCGTGTTCCCCAGGTTGGTTGCTGTCTCTATTTTTGTAGCCATTTTATTCCAGTAGTTGCATCTGTTATTTCTGGCTGATCGTGTTGCTTGTCCTCTGAGATCGTGATAAGCAGAGGATT